AAAGCGCCGTGGGCAAACACTCGCGGCTGTCTTGCCAGACATCGGCGGTGATTAATGGGTCTGCGGGGGCAGGACCCCCAGCATGATTGGCCGCCCCATAATGCACCCTCCAGACACGAGAACAAGGCTCCACTCGAAGGACCTCGAGGGCCTGCACTTAACCCAAACATGTTTTCGGTTTTCGGCCCTTGGCCGTGCTCTTTGCCTAATGCCTAATCAAAACATAAACAATCTGGGCCGAGAAAGGTGGTCTCTGCAGCCCGGCCAACTGGCAATTTAATTAATGAAAAGCCAAAACACTTGAGCATCTGCCCTGATTTATGCTGAATGACTTCTGTGGCGTCAGGGGCTGAGTATTGGCCCCATTCAAGTGTGCACAATTTGGCTAATAAAAGATAATGTGTCTGACTTGAAGATGTGACAGCCTCAGGTCGAGTCCTTGAAACAAATAGTTAACAATCAACTGGGTCCGAAAAGGTTTGGTTTTGGGGTATTAGACTTTATGATGAAAATATGTTTATCATAACGTATACAATGGAGTTGGTTTTGTTTACTGTTTTAAGGGCAATGCTTTTATTTACCTAAACACACTTGAAGAAATGTAAAAATTATCTTATAAAATCTTTAAGAGAAATTTTTTAGTTCATCAAAATATAAATAGAAGCTTTTAATTATATTTTGAAAAGCAAAACTTGTACTTGAGATACGATTCTTTTGTATCTTGGTTTTCCATCGTTGTAGAATTTTTATTATGTATACAACCAGGCTAATCAGCTTTCAACGACTTCCTAATCTTTGCCGCCACTCACGTGTCCATCTCTAATCAATTTGTATATCTGCCAAAGGTCGCTTTCATAGCTTTAATTACTGGTCATTAATCATAATTGAAAAGAGAGGCGTGCAGACTGTGTTTCCCGGCAGGGCAAAGTTCTCTGTTTCTGACCGCTGCATATGCCAATTTTCCCGGGAAAACTTTTTAAAGCTGACTGGGCAGAGAAAAGCAGTCAACAGCAGACCGCAGATGATCCAGTTGATTGGAGGCTGAGGTGGTCAAGACAGCGATGAGCTGGGGGCTTAAATTCGCAATTATGTCGTTTTAATAAACAGGGTCCAACGAGCCGTAATTGCCCAGATGCCATGGAGAATCCGGAGCAACGCAGTAACCAGAAGCTGTAACCGAGAGACCCGTAAGGAAACTCAAGGCGAAACGATTGAGCCGTCCCATCAATAATGTGCGTGACACAATGTTGCCGAAGGCTCGCCCGGCCCACGCTGCGTATACGCAATGCGGCAGGAGATGGATAACAGGATCAAATGGTATTTCCCAGCATGTTAAGTGGATTGTTAACGTTTCCCAGTGCGTGTGTGTGAGTACTTTATGTATATATATATATATATATAGACAAGGTGGGGAACAAAACTTAATTGCAGACATTAATTATGCGCAAAATTAAGATATATTGTGCACCGGAGTAAACTCTGGTTATTATTACTTACAGCCAAGCGATGCAATTTGAATTAATTTTTTCGCATTCATGCGGCTTAATTAGTTTTTCATGAATTGCACCACTTTCCATCGATTTTGTGTCAATACTGAATTATATAGTCGGTATTTGCACGGCCTACTACCAGTCAAAATAAAGTCAGTAATTAATCTTCTTTCAACTGACCGCAGGCGTGGCAACCAAAGTTGATTTTAATGAAATTATTCCCAACTGGCGCACTGACCTGAAAGCCATTCCAGCATCCCCCACTTTTCGCTCCAATCCGATCTGAGCTGCCGGCATTTTGAATACATTAATGCATGCGAATTGCACGAAGCTAATTACTTTTTAATTATTTTACGGCTTAAGGCCGACAAAACCATCAGTGTATTTTAATTTTAATGTAAACATCTGGATGATATTAAATCGGTTAAGGGATTTTAATAAAAGCCATTGATTAAGCCTAAATGAGATGGGACAAATAATTCGATAAACAGATAAGCCGCAAAGCTATGTTTAAAATAATTATTCTGGTCATATGTCAAACGACCCTGAAATTTACTAACTACATCAGGTAATTTCTAAAATAACTGAATATCTTAAATTACTCTGAACAACGTAGTATAATAGTCCTAACCTCAGGCTCAACATCAGAATTCTCCTACCCAAAAATAACAGAAATTCGGCTCCATTTGATTATAGTTGATTGTAAATTGAAATCGAAATTGTTTTCCTCTACAACCGAGAGTCTAGATTATTTGCCATCTCGACTTGTTCCTCAATTATTGTGCCGTATTATATATTTATGCAATTTTCCGAATGCGTTTCTGGCTGCAAACTGTTGCATCCCCTTTGTTGCAGTTCGCTCATCTGGCAAATAAATGCAATTTGATGGATCAAAAGGTCCCAGTTCACCACAGAAAGGGGAAAAAGGGGGATAAATTGAATTCCCATTGTGTGGCAAGGCTCGGGGCATTGTAAAATTGACTTTCAAGTTGAGATTTCGCTTGGGTAAATCTCGGATCATAAATCAACAGGGCTAAATTGGGGCGGAAGGTGGATAATCAGGAAAAGACTCTTTTGGGCCCTGCTCTGCTTTAAATTTGACGTATCGCGGACTGCAAATCCTTGAGATTTCTCATTAGCCGTGGCAACTAATTAACATAAGTAATTTGCTTAATGGCCACTCAAAGGCAGCCGCTCTCCATGAACTCCCCAAACTTCCAGAAAATACCTGGAAGCCATGCTCGTTTATTAGGCCCACAAAAGAAGAGAAAGGCAAACAAATAGACCGATAGGCAGAACGAACAAACAATAAAGCCAAGAACAAACAAAAAGCACATGCAACTGAGAAATCCGGGGCTTACATGATGGATTTCCCAATGGCTGGCATGAACTAATATTTTGTAAATAAAAAGTTAGCGCCCTGCTCCGTCTTCTTTTCGCTGTTTTTTGTTCTTGGCACTGATAGCGTTTGGGGACGGAAATTAAATTTGGCCACGTTAATTGCCTCGATTAGAACTTTTCGGCCATTACGATAAGCGTGGGCAGCAGCCCCGCAGACAATGGGAAAATGACAAAGCCGGCTGACCTGTCTTTCTCTTTTCTGGTTTTTTGGCCAGCAAATGATGAGATTGTGATTAATTAACTACTTAATTAAAAGCTTATTAGCGCCGTCGCTAAGGTGCGAAGGGGCCACACGGCGTATGCGCAATGTTCGTTAGCCCTAAGAGTAAAAAACACTGACGCAACATGGCAAAACAATAGTTTACTTTATATTTCCGACATGCCTTCTGGCATTTTGAGCTCCATTGTTTGTGTGTTGTCGCCTTTGATTTGAGCGTTCCGTTTGTTTTGCAGCTGCAACCCTGGCGTATGAGCAATATTCCGGCCAGACAATGCACAATGCTGGCAAGAGTGTTGGTTGCGGAAAACTGTCGACCGTATTACGCATACGCCCCATTGTGCCAACCATTCTTCCTCGAGAGTCAATTTACAATAGATGAAAGAGCAGCAACAGCTCCAGCAGCCGGAAAACTGTGTCACTCTGACATCTCATGCCCTAATGCTTAAAGCAAACACGTGCGGACCATGTGGCCATGACTCACTTTAAGTGACGGACAACACGGCGGCTGTAATTAGTGTAAGTGCCCGCCCGAATTGTCCCGCCATCTTTTGGCAGCACTCTCGTTTCACTTTTCATGTTCAAGGATGCGCGCAGCAGTTGCTGCAATTGCTGGGAAATACTTTTAAACAATCGCAAGTGCTGCTCGCAACTGGAAGATACCTATTATTCACACTTCTAGTTGTTTATTTTTAGTCACTCTCTCAAATCGAACATGATTTTATTTACACTTCTAAATGTTTACTAAGCACTTTAACCTTCAATTTGACTTTTGAAAATTTGTATAAAAAAGCTTTAGACGATTGACTTTTTCCGATTGGTAGATAAAATATTGTATTACTAGAGAAATAATAATGGTAAACAAGAAATCTTAGATATTTTTAATAATTCTATTGAAACTTTAAAAAAGTATAATGGTTTTTTGTTAATGCCTAAATTTAAAATTATGAAATTTTTAAACTTAGAGACAAAACATTTTATAAATAATAAATTTATGAAGATAATAATTTTATAATGAGAATAGTTCAATCCAATTTATGTGTTTAAGTCGAAAACTTAAGTTATGGTTACCAATTTTTGACTTTAATTGATTGTACCAAATTAATATTAACTAATGCCCAAAAAAAATCAAAATTAAAAAGAATCATATTTGATTCGATATACCCTTGAGCTGGGTACTTCAAATGTATCCAAAAACTTAGCCCAGACAACAGCACTTCCTGGGACCAGTCGGCCAAATCCGCTGGCATGCTGAGTTTTATTTGGTTTCAGGCAATTAAGCCTGTTGTTTTGCAGTTAAGTGTAAATTTATACAGAAAAGCCGCACCCGCACCTCGGGTGCACATCTGTGCGGTGGTAATTTAGCCAACTTTAAAGATAAAACTGCTGCATTTAACCGAGAGCGATGGAAAATCGACAGCATCTGCGGCACATGGCACATGCTGTGGAATACCCGTAGCCTAACTGAATTATCAAATCAAGCGGTTTGTGACTTTGTAATTTGATTAGCTATGCCCCCGGCAAAAGTGTTTGTGCATATCAGTGGCTGATTTTCCAGTTATCTAAAAAGGGCGAGGTATGAAAACATTCAACAGACAGAGATGTGCAAAGTCACAAGTCAACCGGAGGAAACCCACAATATCACTTAGTGCAAGTGGCAGCTATTTATTTCCCCTTGGTCTAGGTCAATCATCTACAGTGCCCAAGACGGCCCGAGTAATCCAATTAATGTTTGCCTGCCATAAATCTATATTTAAATCTCCGACAAACACTGGGCGATAACAAAGATCGTCCGCAGATTGGTGTTAGGGTGCTAAATTCGCGGCTTTATATTTACTCAAACAGGGGGGGCTGGTAAACAAATGCAGAACAATATTGGACCAGAGACTTACACTGGGTCAACGACTCCCGACACTCTCACTTTCGTTGTGGATCGGATCGGCTTTCTTCTCGAAGTCGTTTGCATAAATTTTGTGTGTTTTCCAAAAGTCGTCAAACAGGTGGCAAGTGTCGCACAAATTACTTTAATAATAGCACAAGCATTGGAAAATATCCGAGAAATATATGTGTAATGAAAAACTGCACAAGTTAGTCCAAGATATTTTTTGTTTCGACTTTCGGCCTATTTACTTTCGAGCACTTTTCCATTCAAACTTATGTAGACACATGCAAATATTTGCCAATATTTATTTTTGTTTTCCACACACTAATAGCATTGAATTTTTCATTCATTTCAAGTAGCACAAACAGATTCAATTTTTCCCCTTTTTGTATGTGGGTATTTTCATTTGAATAATTCCTGAAAATATTTCTTCTTCACTTATTTATTTATTTTGATTTCTGATGGTTTTGAATAATTTGAATTGTGCGGGAGGCTGCCAGGAATTCGGGAGCCGAGCGCGTATAAACTGCGGAGCCCGACGATTGAAGAACTGAAGACCCGTCGGTCCGCCTGTAAAAGTTTAACTGGAAGCGCGACCGCCGACCTCCGAGCAGCGATTGAAGGCGCTCAACATTTCCCCGAGCGGTACAGAGAGAGCCTCGTACCTGTGCGTATGGCGTGCGGCCTTAACAGTGTGTCGGTGGTATACCCGATATACTATATCGCATAACAGCACTAGTACTCTCTCCGCATGCACACAGCTGCGCGCTGTTATCAGCGGCCATTCTTTATCACTGTGTCAGTGGGTCTGCTCTCACACTCTCTCTCTCTCTCTCTTCCGCCTTGCAGGGCGGGGAAATTCAGCGAGAGAGAGGGAGAGAGAGCCTGAGCAAGAGCCCAGAACATTCAGGGGAAAATCTCTACCAGAAATCGCAGGCACCGGGAAAATCGCATGCGAGAGAGCAGAACATTCGGAATATGAAACACAGACTGGCGGGGAAAAATCAAGAAAGGCAGTCCAATAATAAATATTTACCATAGTTCTAGTAATAGTTTAATATTTGCTTCATCGAACTGGCTATTTGCTAAAAATGTCTACATATATTTACGTATAATTAACTTACATCGTTTAAACACCTGCCGTTAAATAGGTAGGTAGTTTCAAAGTACATAACTTTAAGCTCTTTACTTACCATAAAAAAACAAATTTTTAAATGCCGTCAAATTAGGCATCTATATAAGCGTAGATGCTTTTTGCCTTGTTTGCAAGATGCAATTTGTTTATACATTTACTTTAAAACTGAAATGAGTAAATAATTTTTGATTCTTAATTATTTGCAATTAGCAAAACATACAATGTTTACGCAAATAAATCTAGACTTGCTTAACCTTTTATTTTGTTTCCTTTATTTTTTTATATATACACATCCGTTTTTTTAATTAATGGTTTAATTCAACCTTATGCCAATTAATATAAATAATTATTCTCTTTGATCTAGTTTTTCTTGCGGAAATCAACAATTGCTTAAGTGGTAACATTTTTAAATTCAAATGTGGCGCCATTGCAGAAATGTTACTACTTAACCAAATTCAGCAAGGGGAAGTTGTACAAAATTGAGAAAGAGACAGCCCGAGCAGTAACATTTTCCTGCAAAATCTAACAGAATATAAAGATGCGCTTTGGTAAAATAATTTATTTGAAACCCGAATTCTTTTAACTGCAATAATTATGCCAACCTGGGTATCGAGTAAATTCCGAAATTATCCGGTCCAGCAATCATCATAAGAGAAGCCCGAATATGTTTATGGACAAGATAATAATCAGTAATCAAAACAAAATAAATTAAAGCTTTATAAGCTAACATTAGCTGTCAGGCAGCCAAAGAACATAAATCGAGACCAGAGCCCCCAGCTAACCGAAATAAAATGGCAAAAATTATTATTATCTAAACAAAGGGGGGTGCTCACATGCCATCGCTCAAAAGCACTTTGCCACTGAGATTTTAGGGGGGGCAAATCGGGGCTGCATTATTCCCCACGTGCCTCTTGGCTTACCCCACCACTGCGAACTCTTGTTTTTGGGTTTTCAAATTGAAAAACATGAAAAGAAATATTTCCAATCAATTGGCAAAGAGAAACGAATAAAAATTCACATACGAGGAGCACAGAACAGAACAGACAAAAAATACCCACACACACAGGAGGAGGCAACAAGAAAAATGTTGTTCATTCATTAAATACAAAAATTCATTAAACAGACGAGCGATCAGGAATATTACTGATGCAGTCCAAACGAAAGTGGCCTGGTGTCTGACCGGTGCAAAAAGGGAGAAAATAAAAATAGTTGTTTACTTTCAGAACAGAAGCAACGACAACAGCGCGAACACCGGGGAAACAAGCTCTCTCAGTGCGATAAAATATGTTTTTTTAATGCAGGTCGGTGTTCAATAAAAGTGCCACAAATCCAAATAGAACAAGCTGCAGAAAAATACAAGAAAATAATTTCGCAGTTTCGACTAGTTGATACCAGGTCTGGTAAAACTTCTGCAAGCCAAATCGAAAGTATTTGCAATATTTATAGTCCTTATATACCCCGTTTCAGAAATGACCATTGAAAATGGTAAAGTGAATCAAGCAAAACGAATGAAAAATTATTGACCAGCTGCAGGAATTAAAAAGAAATTAAGGTGTGAATTGTATGATAAATTGATGGCTTATATATATTTACACGATGCTAGCAATATTACATAAATAAATTAGGTTATTTACAATTTCCGAAAAAATTATTTATATTAAACGATTATTTTAATGAAAATCAGTTAAGAATAATTAAACACTCTCGACCTCATTGAGAAATAAATGTTTAGCCAAATCACAGTTTAATACATATTCGTTTTAAAATATTAATGACCATTGATTACTCAATTTATTTTAATTTAATTTAAAATTTACCCGAATTTTTAACAATTTAAAGGACCGGAATCATAATACAAAACTATAGTTTGTTAATAAACTTACATTGTAGGGGCATGTGTAAGATATAGAGTGAGACGTGAAAAGTTCATGATGTATAATGTCGCTTATAACTACAATGTCGCTTATAAACGTCAAAGTTTGACTAAAAAATACATAATATTAATTATTTTTGTATACAAAAATTTTCTACCGACCTTTACTTTACCAACAGGCGTTCGATTTATGGGCTTTATGTAACAATAATCAAATGCACAAAAACTGTTATCCAGAGAAGTCCATTTGATGTTGGGATCTGTAATAGATGTGGAAAGTTATGTAAACCTAAGCTTTAATAAAATATTTCGTTTAAAACACATTCTGAAACCTTGGACGATCAAACAAAACTAAATTTTCATATATTTATTTGATGCACTAGAATGAGCCCGATTTAACAAATCAGTAGTTTCCAATCAAAATTGATGTACTAAATATTTCAATAATATGTTTTTGTGTACTTAACCCATAGCTTAATTATACCTACACAAAGAGAATTAATCAAGTAATTTGCCCTCCGATAATTTTCGCAATCAGAAATAAAACCAAGTTCAAAAAATTTCACTTTGAGTTCAAGTTACCCATTTTGAGTATAAATGAACTGAAGAACTTGAGAGTCGAGTCACAGCCTTGTGTTTTGAGTTTTCAATTTTAAAACAAATTTTTTTTAACTTAAAATTCAAGTACACATTCCCGCATCGAAGGACAATTAAGTTAACCACACACTTCCCAATTTTTAATTTTTTTACCCACCAAACTTCGTTTTAAAAGCGATTTAAATTAAAATTTACTTTCATCTGTATCCATAAACTTTAAAAGTGAGTTAAATCAACCATTAAATTATTAACCTATGTTTTTAATTGATAATTCCGATTTAAAATGTTTGATAATACTAAATGAAGCACAGTCTAACTCAACTTACAAAAATTTGATCAGTTTCGGATGGTCTTTCAATGTTTAATAATGTGCTCAAACGTTAATAATTTTGTTAGGCTGGTGGTTATACTGTGTTTGGTTCTAGAGGTATGATATTTCCTTTCTACCGCAAAAATAATAAATTACATAAACTGTTTTAGATCTCAACCAAATTTGAATGGACAAATATAAAATGCTCTACTCTGGATAATAGTTTTTGCACAATTGAATATTGCTACATAAAACCAATAAATCGAACCTATAAATATGTTTCCCTTAAAGTGAACCTGTTGAAAACTCCTGTTACTAAAGTAAAGGTTAGTTTATACTAAATACTGGCTGAAATTAAATAAAAAAAATATTTTTTATAGATAAACTTTGCAGTGTATAAATGGGCCAATGGATACCTGCCATTTTTATATAATTTAACAGTGGATTCATGTCGTTTCCTAAAAAACACAGATGCGAACCCAATCGCAAAGTTCTTTTACGAACTTATTAAGTCTCACTCCAATATGAATCATACATGCCCATACGATGTAAGTTCAATACCTAGAATAAATTTTATTCTCTGATTCTTATGATTATCTTTTTAGCATGATGTTATCATCGATAAGTTATCCACAGATTTCTTGAGTAACCAATTCACAAACGTTCTGCCAGTTCCTGAAGGGAAATATATGGTCAAGTCCAACGTGTTTGCTTATGACATTCTTCGAGCCCGCGTTGATGTCTACGGAACTATTTCTTAAACGGTTGCTTTTTATTATTTTTAAAATTGTTAAGTCAGGTATTGTCTTTGACATAATAAATAATTGAGCAATTTTAAAAAATAACGAAACTTTAATTCTTCTGTATAGATACAAAAATAAATAAAATAAAAATATATTTTTGCCTACATTAAAAGGAAGTTTAATCAACCATTAAATTATACACAACAAAATTTTTAATTGATGATTCCGATTTAAAATGGTTGATAATACTAAATGAAGCACAGTCTAGCTCCACTTACAAAAATTAGATCAGTTTCGGATGGTCTTTCAATGTTTAATAATGTGCTCAAAGCTTAATAATTTTGTTAGGTTGGTGGTTATACTGTGTTTGGTTCTAGAGGTATGATATTTCTTTTCTAACGCAAAAATAATATATTATATATTCTGTTTTAGATCTCAACCAAATATGAGTGGACAAATATAAAATGCTCTACTCTGGATAATAGTTTTTGCACATTTGAATATTGCTACATAAAACCAATAAATCGAACCTTTAAATATATTTCCATTAAAGCGAACATGTTGAAAACTCCTGTTACTAAAATGAAGGTTAGTTTATACTAAATACTGGCTGAAATTAAATAAAAAAATATATTTTTTATAGGTAAACTTTGCGCTGTATAAACGGGTCAATGGATACCTGCCATTTTTATATAATATAACAGTGGATTCATGTCGTTTCCTAAAAAACACAGATGCGAACCCAATCGCAAAGTTCTTTTACGAACTTATTAAATCGCACTCCAATATGAATCATACATGCCCATACGATGTAAGATCAATGACTAGTAATAATTCTCTTCTCTGAATCTTATGATTATCTTTTTTAGCATGATCTTATCATCGACAAGTTATCCACCGTATTCTTGAGTGACCAATTTAAAAACATTCTGCCATTTCCTGAGGGGCAATATCTGTTAAGGTCAAACTGGTATGCTTATGACATTCTTCGAGCTCGACTTGGTTTCTACGGAACTATTTCTTAAATGGTTTTACTATTTTAATATAGACATTTCCTTTGACACCATAAATAATTAAGTAAATTAAAAATAAAATAAAGCCGGTTTAGGCTCTAAATTTGACTGAACAGGGTATTTAAATATGAGGAAGCCACGAGTAATTATACGCTCTAAAGCTCTCAGAGAACTTTATACATTATAAATCGAATTCCCACGTATTTATGTAAAAAGGGACTTTATTTCATAACAAACAAAGCTTTGTTCAAATTAACTTAAAGCAAGAAATAGTATTGGAAAATAAACTCTTTATTTTGAGACACTTTAATTTTAATATTAAAAAACTGCTAATAATTTCTACCAACGCTTAAATAATGATATATATTAAATTGATTTCAACTACTTAAATCGCTAACAAAAAAAACTAACAAAAATTCTGTAGGTTCCTGAAAGCTAATGATGAAGTCTCCCAGGTATGCTAATGATATTCTTTCTAGGTAACTATTAAAATTAAATATTTGAATATATTCAGCATTTGACAAATAGCTTAAAATATATAATATATAAGCGTTTAATTTAAAAAGTTCAAGTAGTGATCACATCTTTAATTGTATTAAAAATTGTATTAAAAAAAAACACTCTCCTAAGAACCAAAACCAAAATTTATTGCGCCGACCTTTACATATCATTGACCCTTTTGAAATGGAGAGCGCCGAGGAGGCGAATGAGAAATGTTGAAGTGAATTTATTGTTTCGCTAATAGCTGATGACTGCCAGATATTTCGCATTCAGAGTGCCCTAGGAAAAGTGTCGAGTAATTTGTGGAAATGGTCAAGGCGAAATGAACGATAAGTGTGGGTCTCTAGCCATTTCCAGTGCCAGACCGCATTTATCACTTCTTGGCTCTTCGCTTTTTTTTCCAGCGAGTTGATAATGCCACGTCAATCGAATAAGTTACTGGCAATAGGCTGTCAGCCGGCATGCCAGTCCCTCTTCACCTGCTTTACATTTCCTTACTCTCCAATTATTATGAAACAATGATTGATCCGATGAAGAAAATCAGGAAAAATCAGGAATCGATGCCGAAACGGAAGCACTGACAGATAGAGACAAAACAAATTCGCAACTCAACTGGAAATAAATCATAAATAAAATATGCGCACCAAGCAAACACATCAGCCAGCGCCCACGAATCATAATCGGAATGGGGCGGGGAAAAGTGGGCGGTCTGTTGAGGAGAATCCAATTTGATTTACGATAAATACGCCATGATTTATGCCCTTTGCCGCTGCCTTGTGTCCAGAGCCTAAGCCGCCGATACGCATCAGTTCAGCTGGCGACCGCAAAATCATCGTATTTTGGCGAGCGTTTTTCAATTTTTCATTTCGCTAAAACTCTTTTGGGTTTTCAAAGCGAGATTCTCAGCAGTCCTTCGGGGATATCATCTAAACGAAATGAGGTTGTATTAAATTGACACTCGTTAACAAATGAAAAACTGGATAGGAAATAAAAATATATATAAAAGTTATCTATGTTGGTTTTTCTATAGACCTTTTTGACAATAATTGTAGCTATTGATAAATGGAGGTCTTACGCTGGTATTTTAATTAAATACTTAATTTCTTCTCCTTTTTTTTTTTTTAATTTTTTTTTTTTTTTTTTTTTTTTTTTTTTTTTTTTTTTTTTAAATTTAATTTTTTTTTTTTTTTTTTTTTTTTTTTTTTTTTTTAAAATTTTTAAATTATTATTATATTTTTATATATGTACCATTATAACAAAATAAAATATCAGATATAAACTGAGTATCAAGAATTCGATCCCTCTACACTTGCAAACTTTGTAACCGAAGGCTTTGTATTCAATTTATTGTTGATTCGTTTCAATTCTCTGTATTTTATTCTTTTTTTGTGCATATAAATTGGCTGCGTCATGGTTTAAAATTTTGTTGCATACTTTTGCGGGTTTCAGTTTGTGTTTGCGCTGGTATTTGCATTCGAGTTTGCGGTTCGTTGTTTGTTTGTTGCTTATTTATTTAGTTGTAAGCGTATGCAAAACAAATATTAAGGTAAACTTGTTCGACGCCCATTTCGTGTTCGCCGACGATGTTCTCGTGCTGGCAGGATGTTGTAAAGAGGCTATTTCTGACTCAGTTTGGGTCATGTATCTGAATGATAAATGTGCTGGCAGGCTGGCAAATTGTATTGATAATCGCTGCCAGAACTTTTGGCGCCTGTAAATCACTAATGATGGCCAATTTTATGCACGTATTTATGTCCGTTATGCCGAGTGTTTGGCCCACGCATTTCAAAGTATTTCTAAAAGCAACTTAATGTTTGCCTGCCGCCCAGTCTCCAAACTATCAGAGAGTCACGCACTTGGCAATCCGAAAGTAAAACAGAAACAAAATTCAATTAACTTCTGCCTTTGAGCCGGGCCCAAAGAGGGATTCAGGATTCAGGCTGCTTATAAATAGGTTCGGTGCGTGTGGCACTAGCTTAAAAACCCCCTAATCCTCACCCTTATCACATCCTTCATTTCAGCCTAATTAAATGGACATTTCGACAGCTTGACATGTGTGAGCGTATAAGTTTCCGGCCGTGGGTTAATCCTCATTCCAGTGATTTTATTTCGGTTCAAAAATAGGGGGTCGCATCAAACTGACAATGTTAATTGAAATGCGGCCAGTGTGAGAATCACCGTGGAAATAAAAACTCGAAAAACTCTAAAAACCCGAAAAAAAACGAAGTTGAAAACGAAAAAAGCTGGCGGGCAATAAAAGCACACTTCGCCATTACGTATACGCAACGTGTAACACAGGAGATACTGAGCTGGTGACGGCGAAAATAAAACTTTATTGCTAATTTATTTGATTAAATTTCACGCCGTCGCTGTCGTCTCAAATGTATTTTTGCGTTACACTTGTTTTGTTGTCATTGTCGGTGAGATCTCTGACATTTGCTGACACCGAAGTTGTCAGACCTGATTCCCCGCCAATTGATAAGAAAAACACTCGGGGGGCTGATTATCAGACGGTCGAGATCAAAGCAGGTGTTTGCGCCTCGTTTCTCTTAAAGATTTAAACTCCGGCTCAGCCTGCCGTTGACCTGCCGTCAAAGCAATTCAATTAGAGCTTCGGCAGACAACGCGGCGTATGATTAACATTTGGCGCGCCGCTCAAAAGTATGCAAACAAACACAGAACTCGACGCACTCACTGGAAATGCAAATGTCAAGCACACAGAGACAATAAATGAAAAATAAATGAACGGAATGCATAAATAAGAAGCATAAAAAGGCAAGTGCCAAATGTAAAAAGGTATTATGGCACCCGCACACACACGAGCAGGAGACAATTAAGGCCGGTGAAAAGGGAAAAATAGAAGAGGGAAGGCAAAAGGGAAGAAAGGGAGTACCTCAAAGCCAGGTAGCAGGGCTAAAACCATTGCGAATTTCCGCAACGCTGACATTTTCATTTAAATGCGTTACACACTCACACTTTGAAGAAAAGCGCGGGGAAATGGAAAAGCGAGCGGGGTGCTGAAAGGAATAATGTCCTTAATTTGAATGACGCTTTTTATGCTCTCAACGTTCATTTGGCTGCCTTTGCAATTTCGCCGCTAGCTATAAAAAACTTTCACCAAAGAGAGAAAACTTGAAGTCGAGCGGCACGTGGCTATATCCAGCGGGTCTAGTTTCCTGCAGAATTATCCCCTGGAATTCCTTCATGACCATCAGCATTTCGTGGGGCTTGCTACAAGCCACAGAGCTGGAAATTGCGAATCTAATAAAAATATATAAATACAACATGGAAGAAAAATCCAACTAATCAAATTGGGCGAGAGATACACGCCAAAGAAAAGTACGGGCTTTTTCCTAATTTATATTTTCTTGTTCTTTATTTATATAAAAATATACATGTATGAATCTTCATTAAATCCGAAAACTACTTATTAAATGTGAGGGTGTCAGAGATAAATATAAATTTATTCTTGGGTTTTATAATTTATGTATATATTTGTATTTGTTTTATCTGATCTATATATTTTTATATCGCCCCTTAAATAACAATATTCCTTTTTTCAGTGCTTCAATTCGCAACCGCAAGAAATATCGCCAGGCAATGAAACACTTTGCCGTGGCTAATGCGCTGCTCCCACCGATTTGATCGCCCCCAGTATATAACAAATATCGAGGCAATAAAAAACTGTAACTAAACAGGCAAAGAAAACACAAATTGCAGCGACCACGGCACAGATTGAATTTCCACGCATCAATGGCGGCAGTGGCAGAAAAGTAGCGCCATAATAGGCTCGTCAAATGGACGGCATTAGTATTAGTGTGCGTGGCTGTTCTGTACATGTATGCGTGAGCAGGGTGAGAGTGTGGCTGTATGTACGTGGGCGAGAGGCAAATCGAATTGACATAAATTGACGGTATTTATGGCCGCAATAGATGGAAAAGCTGGCTTTAACTCTCGGCCTTCCTTCTGTTGGCCGGCAAATAATTTAATGCCTGAATTTGCATAGCCATTCGCAAATCAGGCAAATTAAAGAATAAAAACGCATAAAATTCAAAGCCTGCTTTTGGTCCTGAG